TGCATTGAACAAAAGTGGAGGCCCCAAGGCAAAATGACTACCAGAAGAATTAATGTCAACAGCTTAGAGCTCTTCTCTGAGAGGGAACAGTTTGTTGCTAACATGGAGGGAAAGTTGAGCCAACATACAGTTGGCAACAGTGGAGCAGAAAAGGAGTGGGCAGCTTTCAGAGAGTTGGTATACAGCACTTCATTTGCTCATCTGGGTCGGAACACTTGTAAACATCAAGCCTGGTTTGAGGAAAATGATGGGGAAATTCAGAAGCTGCTAAATGAAAAATGAGAATTGTACAGGGTTTACCAGCAGCATGGTTTATCCATCTCTAAGGCAGCATTTAACTCTATCAAAAGTGAAGTGCAAGTGAAGCTTAGAGAGATGCAAGATTCTTGGCTCAGTAAGAAGGCAGATGAAATTCAGTTTTATGCTGATAGTAACATCCAAAGCACTTTTATGATGCCCTGAAGGCTTTTATGGGCCAAATGCCTATGGTGCATCTCAACTACTCAGTGCTGATGGAGCCACATTGATTAGTGATAAGGACTGGTCTTAGAAAAATGGGCTGAACACTTCCATGGTGTTCTCAACAGACCATCATCAATCAATGCTGAAGCCATTGACTGTTTACCTGAGGTTGAAGTCAATCTCTCTCTAGTGGAAGTTCCAACTTGAAGAAGAGGTTTTGAATACCATTAGGCTCCTTTGTGTTGCAAAGCACCTGGTGCAGATTCTAAGTCATTATGCCTAACTAACAAAAAAACAAACAAACGAACAACAAAAAAAAAAAGCAGTGTCCCCAGGCTAATATTAGGCTTTCCCTTTTTGGCCCCTAGGAAGAGAGAATCAAAGTCCTCATTTACAGATCATTATCTAATGATCAGTTAGTTCCAAGATCCTCTCAGACTGCATGGAAATTAATTTAAGCAAGAATAAAAGGTTGGCTAAGGACACAAGGTCAGCGTTTGACACCCACATAGCCCGCATTCCAATCCTTATCATGAATAAGCTGCAAAATCCTATGTCACTGATGCAGTATTTAACATGTAAATACAAGAAGGGGGGAGATGGAATGTTGATGTGCCACCAATTCACAAGGTATATCCTACAGAAGGAGCTATTCAAAGTTCAGGGTACTCCATGGGTACACATCTGATAAAAAAAAAAAAAACAAAACACCATAACTTATGAGCTTTTATCCACGTGTTTACTCTAACTAGTCAACTAGATGACATAATTCACTCAAACACATAATAAATAGCATAGTCAGAGAACTAATAAAGCACTTCCCCTAGAAACCTGTGTATATACATGTACACATGCAATTTTATTTTACTTTTACATGCAATCATATATACATATAAGCACACACATAAAACTGTACAACGTAATGTGTAGTGTGTGTGTATATATATATGTGTGTATATATATATTATATATATATAGGTACATATACATACAGCTTTTTTTTTTGCTTTTTGATGAGGTAATTGGGGTTAAGTGACTTGCCCAGGGTCACACAGCTAGTAAGTGTCAAGTGTCTGAGTAGGGATTTGAACTCAGGTCCTCTTAACTCCAAGGCTGGAGCTCTATCCACTGCACCACCTGGCTGCCCTATATATACAGCTCTTAACACATGTATGCAGGGGCAGTTAACACCTCCACTGTGGGGTAGCCAATGCTGTCTGCTCTAGTAGATTCTAGTCCCTGATTGTCTTGAGGGGCATGCAGTTTTTCTGCCAGTTTGTTAGTCCCTGCAGATATATGGACACAGCAGGTGATTTCTTGAGAGCCTTGCTCCATGCTGTTCTCAACTGGTTGCTCCTCCCTGTTCTCTGCTGGTCACTAACAGCTGCATCTCTACTGGTCATAAAGTAATGGACAACTTTGCCCTAATTCAATTTTCAGATGGTTTCCTTGATGGAGGTGCTATCTCCTTGCTATAAAATGAAGAATGGACTCCAACATTCTCAATTCCAGTTTAAAGTCCAGGGGTATTTTACTCTAGCTCTCTTAGAAAAGCAGGGGACCTTACACTAGGAGAAAAACCCCTCTGCAGTTGTTTCTCTTCCTCCTACAGCAAGTGGCCCTCAGTTCTCAGTCTTGGTTATAATGGCTCTACCTTCTTTCTTTCTTTTTTTTTTTACTAATTTATTTTGATTTATCAACAATCACTTACATAAGCTTTTGAGTTTTAAATTTTTCTCCCTCTCCTTCTCCTCCTCCCTCCCCAAGATGGCGAGCAATCTGATATAGGCTATAAATATACATTCCTATTAAACACATTTTCACATTAGTGATGTTATAAGGAAGAATTAGAACCAATAGGAGGAACCACCAGAAAAAGGAAACAAAACAGAAGCAAAAAAATAGCAAATAGTATGCTTCGATCTGCATTCAAACTCCATAGTTCTTTTTTTGGATGTGGATAGCATTTTCCATCATGAGACCTTTGGAGATGCCTTAGATCCCTGCATTGCTGAGAAGGGCTAAGTCTGTCAACGTTAGTCATTATACAACATAGCTGTTACTGTGTACAACATTCGCCTGGTTCTGCTCACTTCACTCAGCATCAGTCCATATAAGTCTTTCCAGGTTTTTCTGAAGTCTGCCTGTTCATCATTTCTTATAACACAACAGTATTCCATTACATTCATATACCACAACTTGCTCAGCCATTCCCCAACTGATGAGCATCCCCTCAATTTCCAATTCTTTGCCACCACAAAAAAGAGCTGCTATAAGTATTTTTGTACATGTGGGTTCTGTTCCCATTTTTGTGTTCTCTTTGGGATACAGCCCTAGAAGTGCTATTGCTGGGTCAAAGGGGTCCTCATTCCAGATAGCTAATTCTTCCAGACTCGGAACAGACCCAGATTACTTGTGCACTAAGGCTTGTCAAAATATCAGGAGACACCCTGTTTTTCCAGAGCTAAGGCCCAGGCTGTGCCCTGAGCTTGAGTTAACAACAATCCATTGCACTTACCCCGTGGATGATCTTATCCTCTGGCAAAATGTGTTCCTTTTTTTTTATTTCTTTTTTTTTTTGCTTGTTTGTTTGTTTGTTCGTTTGTGAGGCAATTGGGGTTAAGTGACTTGCCCAGAGTTACATAGCTAGTGAGTGTTATGTGTCTGCAGCTGGATTTGAACTTGGGTCTTTCTGAGTCCAGGGCTGGCGCTCTATCCACTGTGCCACCTAGCTGCCCCAAAATGTACTCCTTTGACCAGCACCAGATATTCTCCCTTTTTCCCAAGACCTGAGAGCCAGAAACAGCTTACAGGCTGTAGGAGAAAGTGATCAATCACACCTCCTGACATCTGTGCTTGTGTAACTGCTAAGTGAACTGAATGCTGCACTCCTGTTCCTGCCGTGCTGACTCTGGTTCTGTATCCCACTGAACAATCACAAAGCTCATCAACCCTTACACAACAACTATGATGATTTAAGAACTGTTGCCACGAGATTCAAGAACACCCGTATTGTCCCAAAAATGCCTGTACTTGTGTGCCTGCTGTGAGAACTGTTTACTCAAGACCTAAGGATGACAGTGTTGGATTCTGCCTTTTTGTGGCTTTCAGGCTTATAAGCCCTACCCCTACCCCAGCAAGTCAAGTCCTCCTACTTAGGGGAAGACTTTGGTTTGCAAACCTGTTTTCCTCACTTCAAAATTAATTAAACTGCTACTTGATTCCTGACTCTCCTGTCTCTGGCCTGCTTTGTTTGGCTCTGGTCACCCACAGGATAGAGACCAGTCTAGTACATTTAAAATTTCTTTGATGGCTCTGAGGCTCTAAGTTTTTTCTTTTTTTCCTCTCATTTCAAATCTCAACTTCCTGGTCACTGAAGACAAGAGGGTCTCAATCAGAAGCCTTAATCTGCTTTAGAGTTAAAAATTGCTAGTCCTTTTCTAGGAGGATGGTAGGAGTTTTTACATAAATGGAGATGTTTGGAAGAAGGGTGGGTTTAGGGTGGAAGATGAATTTCATTTTGGACATGTCAAGTTTGAGGTACTGATGGGAGATCCAGATGGAGCTGTCCAGCATGAAATTATTGATATGGCACTTAGAGTTCAGGAGAATACTGCTGGATAAATAAATTGAATAGTCATCTGCACAGAGATGGTAAATGAACTGATGAGACCACCAAGGAGAAACAACAGAGAAACGGAGAGAGACCCCATCATCGTCCCCCTAGGAAAACACCCACATTTAGTGGGCAGGGGATATTATTTACGACAAACAAAAAAAGCCTAAAAAGAAGCAGTCAACAGGTAGGAGGGGAACAAGGAAAGAGCAAAGGAGACAGTATCTTGGAAGAGGTCTGGTTGACTTTGAAAAGCTGCAGAGAGGTCAAAAAAGATGAGAACTGGGGTGGGGAGGGGTGGGGGGAAGGGTCGGAGAGAAGGCACTGGAAGATAAAACAGCAGTAATAGCAGAGTCCTGTGTAGGACTTGGAATTAGAAAGACCTGGCTGGTTTCAGGACTTTTCTCAGACACTAATTAACTGTATCACCCTGGGTGGGACTTCTTCTCTGTAAAATAAAGGGGTTAGACTAGATGATTTCTGAAGTCCCTTCCAGATCTAAATCTATAATTCTATGATTTAACATTGAAAAGATCATTGATAGCTTTCGCCAGACCCGTTTAAGCCAGAGTAATGGGGTCTGAAATCAGATTGCAAGGTGTTGAAGACAGTGGATTCGGTGACTCCACCGGCTGTCAAGAGGTTGCCTATGAAAGGGGGGTGTGGGTGGGGAGAGCTTGAAGGGGATGGCAGGAGCAAATGAAGGGGGTTTTTTGTTTTTGTTTTTAAGGATGGGAGAGAAATGGGCATGTGTGAAGGCACCAGGAAAGGCTCCAATAGATAAGGAGAGAGAGGCAGAGGCGGGTTGTGAGAGAAAATCATCTGAGGGGACAAGCTCCTTGGAGGAGACACATATACAGAGAATTGGTTTTGATGAGCAAGAAGAGGAGGAACTACCTAAAAAAAATCAACCAACCTCAATTTCTTAAGCAGCCCAGCAGAGAAGACGGAAACGCGGGTACATAACAGGAAGATGAAAACAAAAAGCTTCGGAAAGCATCACATTGGACATGGAAACTGGAGGTGGGGCAGAGGCCGGCCACCGAGATGTCGAATCCTCCCCTCCGCCTAGAGCGGCCGCGCGGACCCTCCCGGCCTGAGAAGGCACCGAGACCCTCGCTTCCGGTCAGAGGTTTCTGTCTCGCGGGGGACGTCTCTGCAGTGCCGGGTGAGTCGGGGGTGGCCTAGGCCTGGGGAGGGGAGTGAGGGTGAGCGCCCCGGGGGACGTCCCCGCGCGCGCGCGCCTGGGATTCCTCCGCCCTGCCCTCTGGAAGGAAGGGCGGGTCGGTCCCTAGCGGCCAGACTTGGCCCGGCGTGCCGGCAGGGGGCGGGCCCCGAGGTGGGGCTCTGGGCGCTGGGACGGCCCCAGCAGGGAGCGGCTCTAACTGTGGAAGGGCTGGGGTGGGGCTGGGCCTGGCGCGGATTCCGGCCTCCCGCGCGCGCGCCGGCTCTCGGACGCGCGCGCCCTGCCCCGCCCTTCACGGTGATGCTGTACTCGGACTGCACCACGGGCTGCCAGAGGGTGCCCGGGGATTCCCCGCGGAGCCCTGGCCGACCCTCCCCCAGCCTCCACCCTTTGCTGAGCCTCAGCTGACCCCCCACCTCCAAACCCCTCCGAGCCCCAGCCAAGAACGCACTTGAGACCGGCAGGGGCCGGAGACCCCGCCAAACATCGACCGTCGAGCAAGACGGCAAGCTATTGTTTAGTAATAATATCCACGTATATGCTTATAGACACAGTCAGTTAAAATGTATTAAGCGCCTACTATGTGACAGGCGCTTTGCTAAGTGCTAGGGATACTGCAAAGGGCAGTCACAAAACACAAAACCTTTGTGTTTGGGGTTACTAACAGCTGGGGGAGCCAAGAGACGTTTATTAGCCATGGCTCTTGAGCTGAACTTTGAAAGGAATGTAGGGGTTCCAAGATGGCGAAGTGGAGGGAATGCCAGCTGTAAAGGACAGCAGCAGAATGCAGGAGATTCAAAGCTTAGATCGCACTTGCCAGGCTCTCTTAGTAGGGGATAAGAGACACTCACAGGTAATTGTAATGCAAAACTTTACATGATAAATGACTTAGAATGGGTTGTGAAAGCCCAAAGTTCCAAGAGATAACTGTGGTGTCATAGCAGGCAGGAGGCACCCCCAGTTCCTAAAGAGATCACTTCTGACAAGGCTAACTGTCCTTAGTTTCTGGTTCTTTGGGTCCATGTCCGGTCAAAAATCATAGCTTATGAGCCCATATTGATATGTTTAATCATCCAAGGGACATAATTAGTTCAAGGCAAAGGCATTTATTGAAACAATATAATTAGGAAAGTATTGATGAAACACTTCCCACATAAATCTGAGGGCAAATTCTTTCAAATGCACTATCAGTGGGAAAAATAGAGACATGTAAATAAGGGGTAGACAATGGCATATATGTGGAAGGGCGGCACCTCTGATGCTAAGGTCCTTGTAAGATCTCCAGTGAATTGTGTAGTGACAGATCCACATCTTTCCAGTTTTATCTCCTCTCTGGATGTTAGCTGCTGAGAGCTGCTGGCTCTCCTAGGACACTGTCTTGCCACAGACACCCTTTCCCATGCTCTATCAAACTCAAGCCTATTTTTTTATCCTTAAACTTGTTTTTCTGGTTATTTCTGTCTGGGATGCTACCATTTATTTACCCAATCTCCTATGTTCAAAATATTAAGGTTATCTTTTGTATTTCTCCCTCACATCCATTTAGTTGTCAAATTCAGTCAACCATCTTCACAACATCTATTATCCATTCCCTTCTCTATCCCCTGATACAGGTCCTCATTATTACTTGCTCGGACTATTATAAATTTTAAAGCGTTATATATACTGTGATATTTTAATGGACCTCATTGATCATAGATTTACCGTTTATTGGCACATATCACACCCCACTCATACTTTCTCATCCTATGTGATTCTTGTGTATGTACAGAATTATATAAATGTGAGTTTGTCACTTATTGTTTTAATTACTGTAATGTAGGAAATTAGACTTATTCTGCTTAATCCCAGAGTACTGAAACAGAAAGTCAGACTTGCAGAGGCAGATTTCAGTTTAATAGAAGGAGGAACTTTCTAACCATTACAACTCTTCCCAAATGGAGAAGGCTGCCCTCAGAGGGATGCAGTTTATTAGTAGAGGTCATAGGATCACAGACCTTGAGCTAGAACCCCTCACTTTATTTTATTTTATTTTTAAATTTTATTAATTTATTTTGATTTATCAACAATCACTTCCATATGTTTTTGAGTTGAAAATTTTTCTCCCCCTTCCTCCCTACCACCCTCCCCAAGACGGCACACAATCTGATATAGACTTTACATTCATATTCCTATTAAACATATTTTCACGTTAGTGAAGTTGTAAGTAAAAATTAAAACCAATAGGAAGAACCATCAGAAAGATGAAACAAAACTCAACTGAAGGTAAAAATAAGTGATAGTGATTCGACTTCCATAGTTCTTTCTTTGGATGCGGACAGCATTTTCCATCCCGAGGCCTCTGGAGATGTCTTAGATCCTTGTAATGCTGAGAAAGGTTCAGTTTAACGATATTAGTCATCGCACAAATGGCTGTTATTGTGTACAAAGTCCTCTTGGTTCTGCTCACTTCACTCAGCATCAGACCATATAAGTCTTCCCAGGTTTTTCTGAAGCCTGCCTGTTCATCATCTCTTATGGAACAATAGTATTCCATTACATTCATATACCACAACTTGCTCAGCCATTCCCCAATTGAAGGGCAGCCCCTCAATGTCCAATTCTTTGCCGCCACAAAAAGAGCTGCTATGCATATTTTTGTACATGTGGGTTCTGTTCCCATTTTTGTGTTCTCTTTGGGATATAGCCTAGAAGTGCTATTGCTGGATCCAAGGGTATGCACATTTTTGTAGCCCTTTGGGCATAGTTCCAAATTAGAACCCCTCATTTTACAGACAAAGAAGTTGGAGGGCTAAATGATTTGACCAAGTTCACACAGCAGTGAGGTCAAATAGAGGCTGATGACCACTTAGGGATTCATAGATTCAGAGCTGGAAGGTATGTTAGATGCCATGGAGGTCATCCACATTTGAGCAAAGTGAGCCCCAGAGAGGTCAAGTGCTTTGCCTAAGGTCATACAGGTATTGAGTAGCAGAAGTGAGATTCCAACCCAGGTACTCTGCCTCCCCATCCTGGGCTCTGACTCCCGTGTATACCACAGTGCCTCCTATATTGTAGAGGAAGCTTCTATTCCGGGGTGAATTGAACTAGATTCGCCCTGCCAAAGACTGTAATAGTCAGAGAGTGTCAGAGCTGTATGGGGCTTTACGAATCATTTTGTTGATTCTTGATTGATTATTTGGTTACTTTACAGATGGGAGACTGAAGTCCAGAGAGGGGCAGTGCCTTTTTTATGGTCGCACAGTGAGTTAGTTTTTTAGCTGGCATTAGAACCTAGATCTCCTGCCCTTCAGCACCATGAGTCTGTCTTGGAATCATGGACTCATAAGATTACTGAAGTGAGAGAAAATTTAGAGCTTTGTAGTCCATTGTTTCCCAACCACTGGCCCTAGAAAATTGTTACTGGTTACAGTCTTCTGGGGAAGGACCTTTGCTGTTGACATTGATGATCTTCGTGTAACTTCTGTAGTGAGCTTTGAAAGACCAGTGCATTAGGAGCAGGCCTTCACAGGCTTGCTATAGGGGAGAGCTGAGCCTGATAATGGATTCAATACAAGAAATATTCATTGAGCTCTACTCTCTGCCAGTCACCATTCCAGGCACAGGGAGTGCAGAGACAAAAATGAAACAGTCCTGCTTTCAATGAATGCATTTTATTGGGGAGAACAATATATATGCAGAAAATTAAATACAAATACATATGTAAAGTAATTTGCAAGACAACATTATCAATTGGAGATAGAATAGATTTCCTGTAGGATGCGGCACTCAAGATAATTTTGAAGGAAGTTTAGGATCCTGTTAGGTAGAGATGGGGCTTCCCAACTGTCTAATATTCACCTTTCTGCCTTAAAAACAGCCAGCCTGCCTGGATTCTGTGACTTTCTTTGTGGCGCTGCGAGCATTTTTTGAGGCATCTGAAGATACTGTGGCTCATGGATGGGAGCAGGGTGGTTGAAAAAAGCTTTCTGGAGGCATCAAGTGTTAAGAATTGATTTAGAAAGAACTGATAAAGTGGTATAGGCAATGAGGAGAAGATTTTCATGTTGAGGGATGAATGGGGCTGGAAATCTAGGATCTGTGCTGGTCTCCTCAAAGTTCCTTTTTTTCCCTTAAATCTTCCTAGGTTCCTACCTGTTATACCACAGGAAGGCCAGGAAAACTGACAATGAAGGCTGAATGCCTGTCAGCCAGGCCACAGGTAAGCACTTTTTCAATTGTTTCCCACCCAATGTATCCTTGATTTCTTTCCTTGTCCAGGAGTTCCTCTGTTGGTTTCTTTCCCCTTCAGGAACCTGAGCCCAAATACCCTTTTCTTGGGGCCTATACCAGGTCTGGGAATAATAAATACTATGGCTTGTATCCCAGATGTCTAGGCTGTCCCCAGTATATACACATACCCCTTTTACCCATACAATTACAGAGTTTGAAGTCTGAGATTTGAAGTTTGAGGTCCTAGGGCCTCTTTTTTAAATCACTGTAGCTAAGATGAGAGATTTTGCCTCTTTTGGGATTTGGAAAGTATTTTTGAAAGTCCTGTTCCCTCCCAAAGTGTGACTATCCTCACCCCATCAACTCCAGCTCTCTGCTGAGAAAGGGATTTACATTCTGTTCCTTCCAGCTCAACACAAACGTGTATAAATTGGACACCATCCACATTTTTAAATATACCTAGATGAGTTCACATGCTCAGTTTTGCCACTTCCCTTCCCATCCTCTTACCTTTGGTCAGAGAAGTGGGACTATGCTGGGGTTGCAACAGGAACATTATTTCAGGCATTAATAATATTTGAGGATGTGGCTGTTTACCTCACCCGAGGTGAGTGGAACTGTCTGGAGCCTGCTCAGAAGAGCCTCTACAGGGATGTGATGCTGGAGAATTATGAGAACCTGGTCTCATTGGGTAAGTTCTGTCCTCTGGCTCATTTCTAAGATTCTTTGTCTCCTGCTTGGTAAACAGCAATGGGGGCTGATGGGCTATTTGTGTTTGTTTGAAAAGTTCAGGAATCAGAACTCTCTAGTCCTGTTGAGACTCAAACAGGATATTTTTGTTCTTTTTTCCCATTCCACAGGCCTAGTCTACTGAGAGCTGAAAAAGGGCAACTTCTTTAATGATCCCCAGAATTATGATTTCCTCTTCTTCAGATTCCCTGGAGAAAATCTCAGTCCCAGAATTCTTCTTGCTGTCCATTGGAAGTGTTGAAAGCACCACCATCTGTCCAGTCACTTAGGTTTATAACCTTGGAGTCATCCCTGACTCTTCCCTTTTCCTTATCCCTCCTTTTTTTTTTTATTTTGGCTAAGCAGTGGGATTAAGTGACTTGCCCAGGGTCACACAGCTAGTAAATGTTATGTGTCTGAGGCCAGATTTGAACTCAGGTCCTCCTGAATCCAGGGCCATTGCTCTATCCACTGTGCCACCTAGCTGCCCTACTTCCTTATCCCTCATATCCAGTCAGTACCAAGTCTTGCTGCCCTGAGTCTCTGGGAAGCCCTTTGCCCATCTGCCTTTCAGCACCATGACCCCTCTTCTCATTTCCTGCTCTGAAGGCAGCTTGGGTACCCCTCACCTAGTCCTTTTGAGGCTCTGGGAAGCAGTAGGACATAGTGTAGTTAGAAGACATAGGTTCAAATCCTGCCTCTCATTCTCAATACCTGTGTGAGCATGATAAGGTCAGATATTATTATTATCATTATTATTCCTCTTCTTCCCTACCCTCTTCCAAGCCTTCCTGAGGCCTGCCCCTCTTAGATGTCATTATGGGACACAAAACACCACTCTCATTTGCTTCCGGCACCATATAGCTCTCTGAAGTCATGTGTCTAGAAGCTACCAAGAACCCTGACAGTACAATATAAGTTCCTTGAGGACAAAGACTTTCATTTTGGTCTTTGTCTCCTTAGACCTAGCACAGTACCTGGTTCAGTAGGTGCTTAAAAAATGCTGATGGGATTGAAAATTCAGCCTTCACTTGATCTTTTGCATTTTTCTTCTTTTTTCCTTTCACACCAAAGTCAGCTAGTTCAGGTCTCCATTACTTGCCTTCCTAATTGATCTCCTTCCAGCCTTCCTCCTCTCTAATCCATCCTCTACACAGCTTCCAAATTGTCTTCTTAAAACAGCTATGTGATCCTGTCACTGCTCTGCTCCAGTGGCTCCCTATTATCCCAGGATAAAATATAAGTGCCTCTCTTTGGCATTTAAAGCGTTTCACAGTCTGGCTTCAGCCTGGCCTTCTAGGTTTATTGCAGGTTACTTGGCTTTCCAGGAAAAGTGGTCTGTTGGTTGGTTTCCTGTACCTGACATTCCATCTCTGTACCTTTGCATAGTCTGTTCTCCATGGCTGGAATACATTCATTCTCTTCTGGCCTCAATATCATGGAATCCATCCCTAGCTCCAGGGTTCAGTATAGGTGCCACTTCTTGCAGGATACTAATCCTGATCCTCCCCAGTTGCGAAGGCCTCCCTCTGCCCATCCTTGTGCCTTCATATCTGCCTTGTATATATGTTATGTTTACCTTTCTGTGTACATGCTCCCCACTCCCATAGATCATAAGCTTCTTGAGGTCAGGGGCTTCTTGTTTTTGTCTTTGTATCTTCAGCACCTAGCATAGTTCTTAACACATAGAAGGACCTTAATAAATACCTGTTAAATTGAATGTACCTAGAGGTAGGAATTTCCCATCTTCTTAGTAGGAAGAAAACACATGAACTTTTTGTTTTCTGTGCCCTGACTTCCCTTCCCTTCCTCCTTTGTTCCCTAAGGCTTCCCACATTGAAGTATAGTCCTTAGAGGGCATGCAGCATATTCCTAAAGCCTTAGCAGACTTTTCCTGGGCCTGCTGTTCATTGCCTCTCCCCTACCTGTTCTCTTAGAGATACAAGGTCTGGGTCTAAGCTGGGGGCATCTCTTTGTATTCAGGACAAACTACCAGATACCATTTCCTTCCCTATGAGCAGGATTTCCATTATCTAAACCTGATGTGATCTGCCAGCTGGAGCGAGGGGAAGAGCCATGGGTTGTGCACACACAGGAGAAAGTGACCTTGAAAGGAAATTGTTCAGGTGAGTGTATGAGAATCTTTCCTTCACTCAGTTATTGAACAGGCTTTTCTTTCCTGAGCATCTCTTTTGAGCTTAGTTGGACATTAGGCATGATTGTTGAGTCAGGTTTACTGTAATGAGAAGAGATAGTTTCTTCCTTAAAGGTGGTCACTCTGAATAAAAAAAGGTGGTCACTCTGTTTGGGGAGGTAGAATAGGAAAAATGAACTCTTCCAGGAACAAGTAAAGGCAGTATATGGAGCCACACCAGCCCTGCTTATGTCCGTAGGGCCTGAGGAGGTGAAACCTTAGAGTAGTCAGAGCAAAGGAAGCATATGCAAGGCAGGCTCCTTGGAGGACATGATGTCAATTCAAAGAGTCATAGGATTAAAGGATTTAGAGTTGGGAGCAACCCTAGAGGCCATCTTGGCTAACCCCTTCATTTTACAGGAATTGAAGTTAGCTGGGAGGTTCAGGGGCACTTGTGTACATGTTGTGTCCCCCAGGATAATATAAACTCATTAGGGCCAGAGACAGTTTAATTTTTATTTTGTATCACAATGCCTAGGGATAGGAATAAGACCTGAACCTATGATTTCATTGATACAGGGAACCTCTGAATGAGCAATTGGCTTCAGCAATGCAAATAGACACCTTCTCTGTAACTTACAGTCTTGCCTAATGTGCCGAAAGGCAGGTGCTTAATAAATGTTGACTTGAATTATGTTATCTGCACCGTCCATGCCATCCTCTGTGGGTTTCCCACTTTTAACAGACCTACCTCCTTTGTTAGATACCTGTATTGTGATTCTGTTTTAGCTCTGGCATCTGATCCTTGGCATGCATTGGTCTTGGAGGTACTGACTGCTATGTTTGATTCTGATACTTGCCAGCTACATGACCTTTAAGTCACTTAGCCCCCTGATCTTTAGTTTCCCCATAATGCAAAATGGGGATAATAAATAAGTAATAAGTAATGTGGATAAATAAATAATAAATGGGATAATAAATAAATAATAATATGACTCCTCATAGGATTGTAGGAAAAGGGCTATATAAATCTTAACGTGCTCAGTACATATGAGCTGTTAGGCTTACTAGGCCTTCATAAGGTGGTGGTGTCAGATTATATCTTGGCCTCCCAGTGGTGAGCGGCTTTTTTAGTAATGACCACCCAGATAACCAACACTGCCCTCAGTCAACCGCAGTGATCTTTTGAGAGCTTTGTCTGAGAATCTTCACAGAAAACTTTGTCTGAGGATTTCTCTGTTGAAAAGCCTCTGTTGAGACTTATTGTGCTAAATTCTTAGATGTCCAAAAATACCTACAGCTCTGGTCTGTCTCACCCACTGCTTTCTTATTCTGAATTCTTGTTACCACAAAAACACTGCCTGTGTGAGTTTGTAGGACAAATCATTTAACTTCACTGGGCCTCAGTTTCCTAATCTTTAAAATGTAGGGGTTGGACTAGATGTACCTTCAGATCTCTTCCAGCTTTAGTGCCTAGGATCCTGGGGTTATCCTGTCATTCCTCACCTTTGGCTTTTGACTTTGTGTTTCTCACTAAAGATGTAGCACAAGGGAGTACACCATACTCATTTATTTTACTCAAATTAAATTAGACCTACTTGGCAAAGAAAAAAAAAAGAAAAATAAAAATAACACTTAGTAATCATATGTCCCAGAGTGAGCCTGAGATGTGAATCTGCTCCCCTGAGGGGCAGAGAGAGGGGACAGTGATATAGAGCCAGCACCAGAGGAGAAAGTAAAGGGCAGGCCACAAGCAGGAGATAGTGGCATCTCATTCAGCCTTGGCTTATGCTCAGCCTGCTTCATGCCCACTGCAACTGACCTGGCCTTAGAACCAGTCCTTAAATTGAAGTTACAGATCCAGTTTACTGGCTTCCATACCTCCTGTGCTTTGTGAGCAATTGAAGGTTGTTAAGGCAAGCCACTTTTGACTATAGGTAATTTTTGCTTTAATCACTGATTTTAGAATTTGATGTCAAAGTCAAAAATGGCACCCCTGTATAATAACTTTTTGATTACTATGACCTTATGTTTCCCTCAAGATGACTTAGAATCAGAGCTTTAGCATAAGAAGAGATCTTAGCAACCATTTGGTCCAGCTTCTTTATTTTACTGATGAAGAGACTGTCTCTCAGAGGGTTTCTTATTGGTATCCCCAGGGCCCAGCCCTGTGCCTGGTACATAGTAAGTACTTCATAAACTATTGTTTGTTCCTTCTACTGAGGGGCAGAGTACGGACTTAGGCTATGGTCTTGTCTGGCTCAACTGTTGTTCAAGGCTCTCTTCGCAGCTGCCTACAGACCTTTGGAGTTGCTGAACAAATACTGGAAGCCAGGTATTTCCTGTATTCTTGTTCCCATAAGGGTTTTGATCAACTTTAGGAGACCTGGGTTTAAATCTTGTCTTCCACATTTACTGTCTTTGTGACCATGGGCAAATTATTCAACCTTTCAGAACTTCAGTTTCCTCATCTGCAAAATGGGTCTAACAATATTTGCATTGCCTACCTCATAGGATTGTTGGGAGGAAAATGCTTTGCAAACCTTAAAGTGCTAGAGAAATGTGAGTTATTATTCTTAGGCTGAGGAAGAAATGTGGTATAATAGGTAGGTAAATAGCTAGATATAGCCTTAGAGTCAGGAAAATCTGGGTTCAAGCCTAGCCTCTGACATATCCTGGGTATGAGTAAGGGCAAGTCACTAAGATATTACAGAAGAGTAGCTGATCTGCATCTGTGAAGCAAGGTTCCACACCATGGGATTTCTTGTAACAACTGATAAAGTCACAGGTGTGGGCAAAAAAGAATTCTTAGGTAACCAAAGGCCTTTCTTATGCCCAGTTGTCTGAATTTGGCAGCTGACCCAGCCTTCCTTTACATTTTCATGTCATCCTTCCTGACTTAGTGAGATGGTGTGATAGAGAGCTCTGAGGCTAGTTTGCTGTTGGTTTCTTTCAAGTATAGAATTTCTACCTCTAGCAATTCCTGGAAACCTGTAGTGATGTTTTAATTCTGTTACTCTAGCCAGATGGCTCTCAAACCTTTTTGGTCTCAGAACCCCTTTAGAATCTGAAAAACTATTGAGGACCCTATCCCCAAAAGAGCTTTTGTTTATATAGGTTATATATCTACCTATATTTACTGTATTAGAAATTAAAATGTTGTATGAAAATGTTTTGATCTTGAGGACCCCCTGAAACACTCTTAGGGATCCCCAGGAGTCTCTGGACCAAACCTCAAGAACTACTGCTTGCTATACATTTTGCCATATGAGAGAACCCATCCCTTTATATTCTGTGTATAGCCTTTGTGGCTTGAGCTTTCTTCTATTGAGTTTCTGAGGGACCCACTATATATGATCATTACTAATTTTCAGTATTCCATTTCACCCATTTTATGTTTTAGCATTCTAACATTAGTGTATTTGTATGAATTTAGTTCTGCTACTTATTTCCCTCATCAGTTCCCATTGGTTAAACAAATTATATGGTTATCTCCATTATTTTCCTTGCTTCTCAATGTATCTTGTGTTAGCCTGAGAAATTTTGCCTCCTCCACATTGATTCTTCCCTATTGGCCTCTCAATACTTAAGTTTAACAGGTGTTGATCAAACAAAAAGCTTGAGTCAACAGAGTGTAGTGTATAGAAACCTAGCCTTAGGAGTTTAAATCTTGTCTCTGACACATACTGGCCATTGTGACCCTATAAAAGTCACTTAATCTTTCATTGCTTCTAAACAACCTTCTGATACTATATTTCAGAGGAGCTATTGACTTTTGCTGTCAGAAGGAGTTTTCTTATCCAGGAAGTCCCTATAGTCAGGTCTAGTACCTCTATATAAACATAACACCATATAGACAAGGTTTTAAGGAAGGACATATGCAACACTTTTTTGTCTTAAATAAGTTTTTATTGATGTCTTTTTTTTTATGACCATCATTCCCCTCAGCATCCCCATATAACATATAGTTCCATATATTTAAATATATACATATATATGACAAAAAAGAGCAAAAAATATCAGTATAAGTGATCAATATGTTGCAAAAGTCTGAAAATATGTGCATTGTATAACATTTGTGCATCTTCCCCTTCTAGAAAGGGGAGGAATGGGGATATTTTCTCATCTCTCTCTCTTTTTTGGGGGGCAAGGCAATTGGGGTTAAGTGACTTGCCCAGGGTCACATAGCAAGTAAGTGTCAAATGTCTGGTCTGAGACCAGATTTGAACTCAGGTCCTCCTGACTCCAGGGCCAGTGCTCTATCCACAGTGCCATGTAGCTGCCCCTATACAAACTCTTTATATTTTAAATCATCTACTTTTAAAAAAAATAAGTTTTAATTGATGTCTTTTTTTATATCACCATAATTTTCTCCCAGTATCCTTCCCATTAATGAGTTTTCCATTAATTCTATTTGTTTTCTATTAATTCTATTAATTTTCCATTAATTCTATCAGTTTCTTGGCTTGTCCTTCATAATCTGTCTTGACCATAGTTACATGCATGCCAGATGAGTGTAAAATTATCCATCCCAGAGAGCCATCATATATAACAAATAGTATTTTTTAAGACAAAAAAGAAAAAGAGGTAAAAAGAATCAGTGTAACTGATCAGTACATCAAAAAAGTCTGAAAACATGTAGAACATTTGTGGGAGTTTCCTTCTCATATCTCTTCTTTCAAGCCCTGCTTGTTCTCTATATTTTTACAATATTCACTTTTGATTTTTTAGTGTGTGTGATGGTTGTTTCCATTTGCATGGTTGTAGTTATTGTGTGTATTGTTTTCATGGCTCTACTCACTTTACTCTGCATCAGTTCATGTAGATCTTTCCATGCTTCTCCATATTCATCACATTCATCATCTCTTACAGCACAGTAATATCCCATTATGTTTACATAGTAGTTTGTTTATCTGTTCCCTAATCAATGGGTATCTACTTTGTAATTTTTTGCTATCACAGAAAAGTGCTTCTATAAATATTTTGGCAATGGAAACTCTAGATGTAAAGTTATGGGCATTTTAGTCATTTTATTTGTATGATTCCAAATTGCTTTCCAAAACAGTTGTCCTGATTTATAGCTCCACCAATGATGTACTAGTAATGCAACTCTTTAAGTACTCTTCCTTTAGCCCATTACCTTCTCAGTCATTCTGCCTGTGATTCCCAAGCATTCCTTTCCTCTTATTCTTAGTTCTTCTCTCTGATCTTGCTATTCATTGTTTGTTATCTTTTAGCCCTTCAGTTCCCTTTTGTTATGCTTTCCCCTTCCTCTTTGAGCTTTTATTCTCCAGCTGCATCCAACCTTCCTGTCTGTTATCATTTTCTTCATTTTACTTCTCCTTTCCATCCTCTACTGAGACTGTGCTGCTAGCACTGAAATCTTTCAGCACCAAGCGTCCTAGGAGATTAGACTTGTCCCATTCCCACCCGTATAATTTCTTTTCTGCCAGGATGAAGGGCAGGTAATATATATATATACTTTAAATTCATTGTTACAGATCTTGAGACCAGGCCTGAGAATGAGAGGTTGTCTAAAAAGCAGAAAATTCCTCAGCAGATGGAATTACAAGCAGCTGCTTTGGAAGATTTGCAGGACATCTTCCCCAGAAATCAAAGGAAAATCAGAAATATCTAACAGAAGGACTGAGAAAACTTTTTTCGCAAAAGAGGGGTTTCAAGCCAGTGTCAATGATCCACCAGAAGTTCCCCACAAGGGAGAGACATCAAGAATGTATTGAATTTCAAAAAAGCTTCAGAAAGGAGTCAAACCCTGTTGGACATCAAAGAATTCCTTCTGGAAGGAAGACTCAGCCATGTGATAAAATGAGCCAAAGCCTCAGAGAGGATTCAGACCAAATGAAGGGCCAAGTGGAAAAGAAATTTTGTAAACGTAATGCGTATCAGAAAAGTTTCAGGCAAAGCTCAACCCAATCTGGACATCATCAAATTAACTATGGAGAGAAATCCTATGAGTGTAATGAATGTGGAAAAACCTTCCGTCAAAGCTCAGCCCTGAATCTTCATCACAGAATTCATACTGGTGAGAAACCCTATGAGTGTAATGAGTGTGGGCAGACCTTTAGCCAACTTTCTAACCTTAGCACACACCAGAGAATTCACACTGGAGAGAAACCCTATGTGTGTATAGAATGTGGGAAAGCTTTCCGTCAGCATTCAGTTTTTATTCGGCACCAGAGAATTCACACTGGTGAGAAACCCTATGAGTGTAATGAATGTGGGAAAGCCTTTACTACCTGTTCATCCCTTATTCTGCATTACAGAATCCATACTGGAGAGAAACCCTATGAATGTAATGAATGTGGCAAAGCCTTTAGTCAGAGCTCATCCCTTATTCTGCATCATAGAATTCATACTGGAGAGAAACCATTTAAATGTAATGAATGTGGACAAACCTTTAGCCAGTTATCAACCCTTATTAAACATGAGAGAACACATAATGGAGAGAAACCCTATTTATGTAATGAATGTGGGAAATCTTTCCGTCAGGACTCTCAACTTCTGTTTCATCAGAGAACTCACAATGGTGAGAAACCCTTTCAGTGTAATGTATGTGGAAAAGACTTCAGTGCTCGTGCATCCCTTATTCAGCACCAGAGAATTCATACTGGAGAGAAGCCCTATGAGTGCAGTGAATGTGAGAAAGCCTTCCGCAGACGATCAGAATTTATTCGGCATCAGAGGGTACATACTGGAGAAAAACCGTATGTATGTAATCAGTGTGAAAAATCCTTCAGTGTACACTCCTGCTTTATCCGACACCAGAGAATTCACACAGGCGAGAAACCTTATAAGTGCAATGAATGTGGGAAGGCCTTCCGTCAGAGCTCTCATCTTCTTACACATCAGAGAATTCATACTGGAGAGAAACCTTATGAGTGTAAAGAATGTAGGAAATCTTTCTGTCACAGAATATCCCTCATTCAACATCAGAGAGTTCACATTGGAGAGAGACCTTGTGAAAAAGTTGTCACTTCATGACTCACCATGACTTACAACTGTACAAGAAGTAACCTGTCTGATTTACATCCTTTTTCAGTATGTGAGGTGGACTGCATCAATCATACGACTCAACTGAAATATGAACCTTCCCTGAAAATAGAGGCTGAATCACTGTGCAAACCCCTGATAGACTTAACCATACATTTCTATACCTTTATACAGGCAGAGTGTGATTTGTATACACCACATTGTATGACAGATTGACGCTGAAGAACTTCAGTGGTGGCTTTCAGAGGAAACAGCTCTGGTGACCAGAGACCCCACACATGTTCTCATCATTTGAAAATGACATAAAAGCTGGTGCCTCTCAGTTCTATTGTTTTCACCCAGGTGCCTTTGGAATGCCTTCCTGTTCACTGAAATTTGCTGCACACCAGAGATAGAGGCCTGGAGGTTGCCATCTGGGGCCACCTTAGTGCAGCTAAATAATCCTTCCCTCCCAAAGGCTTATTAAAATTCATGAGTTCTCCCCATTTGTGATTAGGGGTTTCCCCACTCAGTAGCTTTTTGTATTTACTGATCTCCTTGGCAACTTTGAATTGCTTTATGCTCTTCAGGGGCTGGGACTTTGTCCTAATTATCTGTTATATTCCCCCAGGGCCCAACACCAAGTTCTGCATGTGGGAAAGATAGAGACTAAAGCTGTGATTTCATTGGTTGGTAGTGGGAGCTCCTGGTAGGAATGCAGGTCCGTCCCATCTTGTCTAGAACACTGAAATTTGAGGTGACTTGTAGTGACACACACAATATGTCAGAGGCAGAACTTGAACCAGGGTGTCCTGGGTCCCTGCCAGCTTTCTATCCTCTACACCATGGCAGCTTCTGAACAGACAGAGTGCAGTGGGGAAAGCACTGGGTCTGGAGATCTAGGCTTCAACCTCTGATCTGACTAGTAGTGTGACTGACCATAAGCAGATCTCTTAACCTTTTCAAGCTTAAATGTCCTTAGATAATTGTAGACTAATTTATGTTAAGTAGCTTTTCTTATAAAATACAAATACTGCTTGTAACCACTATTTCATTCTCTACTTAGTGGGAATTCTATCAGGTGACTTTCAAAAGCCCTAGGGAGTTGTTTTCAATTCAAAAAGCATTTATGAAATCCCATTTGTATTTATTCATAGAACACTGGGCCAAGCTGGGGAAGACAGAAAATTTAGCTAGAAGACTATTAGGTCAATAAAGTGGGCCTGGGAGTTAGTAATGAGGATCCCTGTGGGAATGGAGAGAAGAGATTGTGTAATAGGACTAATATCTACCAGGCTTCTCTTCCCCTACCCTGTACCCCCATACATGAGTTAGGCCCATGCCTCTCCTGAACCCCTAATATGGATTAATTTTCCCTTAAAGGTGACAGAGCTGTCCCTGGGACCTGCCTCCTTTGACACAGCTTCTTGGTACCCTCTGGCTGTGTTGATGTGGCTTCCTGGTCACCTACTATAGTGATCAGACTCAGAAGCTGTGTCCACCAGAGCTGAAGCTAGGTACCACTGTATCCTTGCTGATATCCTTTCTGTGCTGTATCTATGTAAACCCCTTTAGCTAATTGTTCAATGTCCTAAGAGTATCTTATTCCAATATTTCACCTAAAATAACAGCATCAGGCCCATCTCTACCAGGATTGATGCAAAAGAGGTTGCAGATGTGGAATGGACATGAATTTTTACCAGATTAGATATGAGAGGTGGGTGATAAAAGCCAACACTAAGGTTTCGAACATGAAAGAATGGGTAAATGATGGAGATATCACATAGGTAAATAAGGAAGTCAGAAAGATAAGTAAACAATGGAAACTGAGGTGAGGGTAGAAGGGCCAAGCAGAAGCAATTGGAGAATATAGCAACTAGAGTTGGAATAGACCTCAGAAATCACCTACTTCAGGGGTCTATGAACTTGCTTTCTTTTAATATTTTGATAACTATTTTAATATAATTTATTTCTTTTATAATCTTATGTATTTTATTTTATGTATGTAAAAACATTATTCTGAGGAGTCCATAGGCTTCACCAAACTGACAAAGGGGTCCATAATACAAAAAAGTTTAAGAACCCCAGATCCAGTTAAACCCTCCAATTTTACTGATAATGAAACAAACCCAGAAAGGTTAAAGGTCACACAAGTGATACAGAGTAGAGCTGGATTCAAATTGATCCTTTTATTCCAAATTGAGTATGCTTTCCATTTTCATTCACTCAGTAAAACTATGCTGAACACCTCAGACTAATAAGAGTGTTCAGGGCAGGAAGCCATCTGCATAGAAATGATAGTTGCAGTTCTACAGCACTTTATTTTAAAAATGTTTGTATCAGCACCAAATAAAATGGACATTCCCAGATTCATAGTAGAACAGAAAAAAGATTGTACTAGAAACTTTGAATCTCTATTATGTAGAGCTTTTTAAAAAATAATAAATAATAAATTAAGTATGTAACTTTCACAGCTTTCCTGTTTGTGATTTTGGTATTCCATCTTTTAAAAAAAAATTTTTTTTAATTGTGGTGATCTTTTTTTTTTTTACTGAAGAAGGTATTTTCATCTTTATTTTGTGAAGAGGATTTTTTAAAACAATTTTTAAAATTAATTTATTTTTGTTTTCAACATTCACTTACATAAGCTTTTGAGTTTTAAATTTTTCCCCCTCCCAAGACAGTGTGCAATCTGATATAGGCTCTACATATACATTCTTATTAAACATATTTTCACATTAGACATATTGTAAAAAAGAATTCTAACCAATAGGAGGAACCACAAGAAAGAAAAAAGAAAACAGAAGGAAAAAAAAGCAAATAGTATGCTTCTATCTGCATTCAAACTCCATAGTTCTTTCTCTGGATGTGGATAGCATTATCCATTTTTGGACTTCTGAAGACTTTTGGAGATGTCTTAGATCCTCGCATCGCTGAGAAGAGCTAAGTCTTATCAAAGTTAATCATCGCACAAGGTGGCTGTTACTGTGTACAATGTTCTCCTGGTTCTACTCATTTCACTCAGCATCAGTCCATACATGTCTTTCCATGTTTCTCTGAAATCCACTTGTTCATCATTTCTTATAGCACAATAATATTCCATCACATTCATATATCACAACTTATTCAGCCATTCCCCAGTTGATGGACATCCTTTTAATTTCCAATTTTTTGCTACCACAGAAAGAGCTGCTGTATTTTTCTACATGTAGGTCCTTTTCCCATTTTTGTGATCTCTTTTGGATACAGCCCTAGAAGTGCTGTTGCTGGGTCAAAGGGTATGCACATGTTTATTATAGCCCTTTGGGCATAGTTCCAAATTGCTCTCCAAAATGGTTGGATCATTTTACAACTCCACCAATGCGTTAGAGTTCTAATTTTCCCACATCTTCTCCAACATTTATCATTTTCCTGTTTTATCATGTGGGCCAATCTCATAGGTGTGATGTGGTACCTCAGAGTTGTTTTGATTTGCATTTCACTAATCAATAGTGATTTAGAGCATTTTTTCATATGACTAGAGATGGCTTTAATTTTTTCATCTGAGAACTGCCTGTTCATATCCTTTGACCATTTATCATTTGGGGAATGACTTGTATTCTTGTAAATTTGACTTAGTTCTCTATATATTTTAGAAATGAGGTTGTAAAAAGATACTCTTTTTTGCTTCTTTCTTTCCCTTTCTTTTTTCTTCATTCCTTCCCTCCTTTCTTTCCTCCCTCCCTCTTTTCCTTCTTTCCTTCTTTTCTTTCTTTCCTTCCTTCCTCCTATCCCAAGTGCTCCATCCCTACCACAGAACTCTTGTAACAAATATGCATAGTCAATAAACAAATCCCCACATTTACTGTCTGCAAATGTGTATCTAGTTCTATCTCATTTTCAGGAGGTGGGCAAACTTCATCATCAGTCTTCTGGAATTTTAATTGGTTATTTCATTGATAAGAATTCTTAAGTGTTTCAAA